ACATCTGCGAAACATCCAAATACTGGTGGCAAGAGCTAAAATTTACCAAGCCCATGAGCTTGAACTCAATGTTGGCTCCAGCCAACAACTCATTGGAGAACTTAACAAAATTAAATTGGTTCGTCACCACGATTTTCAAGGTTTACACCAGAAGGCGTGGAGAGTCGCAGGAACTTGGCTCCTTAAGGCCGCTACAACCATCTGAGTTGAAGCGACTACTATAGAAGACCTATCCCAGGATACAATGACGTAACATCCAATAAGTAAGCAGATACGGACCATGAGGGCCGTCCAGGCCGTGACTGACGAAAGGAGACAGGCCAAGCTAAGACACTTGGTACGTAGCTGGGAGCTGTTCAAAGGTTTTTGGTACACATCTGTTTAAATTCTAGATATTACGTCATCGATCGATAATCTTCCTGTAATGGTCAGAACTGCGACTAGCATCGTTCTCGTGCATATACCTTTCATGTCCTTAAAGGGTTTGCCTTCCATCAGATAACTCAATCCTCCAAAGGGTTAATTAATTATCTATCTTAACGACTAAAATTCTGCACTGACACGTATTTGGTAGCTCATTCGAAGGCTTTATATATATTGTTCTATAGTTTCGTTCACATAGTATGATAATTCTACCAAAAAAAACCTTTCAAGAGGTGAACTGGCCAATTTTCTTTCCGTCCCTTCCATTTATGACATTTCAGCTGAGTTCTTCCCTGATAGGTATTACAAGACAGGCGAAGGATATAGTACAATTCTTCAGTAAACATTCGGTCGACTACTTGTGTAGTGTATGATTTATACCAGAAAATAGATGAAAAAGAATACACATTGAGGAATAACTAGAGGTGAAATACAAGTCAAGCTCAACAATAACAGATATGGACTAGTGAACTAAATATATCAGATTTTTAAAACCTTGAGCGGTAAATAATATAATCGAAATAACTGCGAGACAAACGTACGGACAAGAGACGAAGTATGGATATATATCGCATTCAAAAACTTTTACTCATAGTAGAACAGACTCAAAATAAAAATTTATGGATGTCATTGATAGCAAGTTCTGGCATTTATATATGCCCCATAATTAGGATCTTGTCATGCAAGAGTATGAATATATGCATGGTTCTGGAAATTCTTAACTATCACTTCTGAAATATACACTTTCTTGTCTACGATCAGATTTCGGTGTCCCTGCCCATAGCTTTTTTGGTAAAAAAGGCTTATTTTACCACTCCAAGAGCGAAAGAATGTATCATAAGAAGTTTTAATCTCTGGATCCTTTATATATTGCCGATCTCAGCAGCAACACAGATCAATCATAGACGCAAGATTCTTTCTCAGCTCAACGAATTGATTCCTTGCAAATGTGTCTTTGGAATAAAAAAGCATCACACTCTTCATTGTAAGGGGATTCACTAGGCATCGACGTCTAATTGAATGTTGCTAGACTTCGGTTGATTTCTGTCTCAGGAATCGGCTGTTTTATTTCTGTACATGCCCTGACAGGTCGTTCGAGTGAGAAGGAAAATTTACACACGGGTCTCCAGAAGCAGGACTATTGATTTCTGATAGCAAGTTTGTTGTTTCATCGGATGGGTCGGCATATCTTTAGACATGCGCCTGGCGAGCGATGGGGCAGTATTCTCTACTGTAGGTTTCCAACACAGCTTTAGCACTTTGTGTTGGGACGTGATCGTGTATGTTGCCATCCAAGGATCGGGCCGAGAGATGGTTTTCAGGAACCCATGTTCCGTGAACAAAAACTTGTCTTGGATAAGCATGAATTGCAGCCTGTATGTACATAGGCGCTGTGCCGCGCGCCGAGTTGCGGTCCGGGAGGGTATCTCAATGTCGTATGTTGATGTCTCAGAGAGCGTCCCGAGAGAGGCAAAACAGCCACCCCAAGCGAGAAGAAAGACAACTTTCAAGACAAGGGACAGAAGAAAAGACACAAGGTTTGAGAGACAGAGAAAAAATGGGAAGAGGCGAGAACATGAAAACAAGAGACCTCGAAAACGAACACGGAACAGAGAACAAGGAACCCGCGAGAAAGTTCCGGAAACCCCGGCAGGCAGCGCAGGCCAAAGCCCCGCGTCCTGCACACACTCTAGAATCTTCTAGTGCGCACGAGAAATCGGGCCACCTCCAGCTCGTGGCTATATAAGCCGGGCCCAGTGCCCCAGGAGCCGTTCGAAACCACACACTATTCGACACGAAAATGGACGAAACCCAATTCACAGACAACGCACTACAAATCATCCAGCGCGCGTCGCAGTTGGCCAAGGACGGCAGCCACTCGCAGGTGGTGCCCTTGCATTTTTTGGCGGCCATGGTCCCCACCGATGAAGAAGGATCCACGCTCTACCTCAAAACCTTGATTCAAAAGGCACGGTACGAATGGCCGGATTTCGAGCGCATCGTCAACAGGCACTTGGTGCGGCAGCCGCTGCAGAACCCGCCGCCCGACGACGTGCGGTTGAGCTATGCTGCGGGCCAGATCATTGCCAACTCCAACAAAATCAAGGCCCAGCAGAAGGACAACTACGTGGCACAGGACCACATTTTGCTTGCGCTTTTGGACGACGCGTCCATCAAGGACATCTTCAAGGAGTGCCAGATCAACACCGACACCATCAAGACACAGGCCATCGAGCTCCGGCGCGGCCAGAAAATCGACTCGCGCCAGGCCGACTCGTCGTCGTCGTTCGAATTCTTGAGTAAGTACTGCGAGAACTTGACGGAGAAGGCTCGCGAGGGCAAGATCGACCCCGTGATCGGGCGTGAGGAGGAGATCCGGCGCGTGATCCGCGTGTTGGCGCGGCGCTCCAAGTCCAACTCCGTGTTGATCGGCGAGGCCGGCGTCGGCAAGACGTCCATCGTGGAGGGCGTGGCGCAGCGCATTGTGGACGGCGACGTGCCCGGGATCTTGGCCAACGCGTTGCTTTTCGCGTTGGACTTGGGCGCGTTGACGGCCGGTGCCAAGTACAAGGGCGAGTTCGAGGAGCGCATCAAGGGCGTGTTGAACGACATCGAGAAGTCGCTGGAGATGATCATCTTGTTCATCGACGAGATCCACATGCTCATGGGCGACGGCAAGTCCGACGCGGCCAACTTGTTGAAGCCCATGTTGGCCCGCGGCGCGTTGCACTGCATCGGCGCCACCACGTTTGCCGAGTACCGCAAGTTCATCTCCAAGGACGGTGCGTTCGAGCGCCGCTTCCAGAAGATCGACGTGCCGGCCACCACGATCCCGGAAACCGTGGCCATCTTGCGTGGCTTGCAGTCGCGCTACGAGATCCACCACGGCGTGCGCATTCTCGACTCGGCGCTCGTCACCGCGGCGCAGTTGGCCTCGCGCTACTTGACCTACCGCAGCCTCCCGGACTCGGCCGTGGACTTGATCGACGAAACGGCCGCCACCGTGGCCGTGCAGCGGGACTCCAAGCCCGAGGAGTTGGACAGCTTGGAGAGGCAGTTGCATCTCCTCGAGGTGGAGATCAACGCGCTCGAGAGAGACAAGGATGCGGACTCGGACTCGCTCGAGCGCTTGGAGCAGGCCAAACGCAAGAAGGCCGACTTGGAGGAGCGCCTCAACCCCTTGCGCGAGCAATTCCAGCAGGAGAGGAAGGGCCACGACGAGTTGACCACGCTCAAGCGCAAGCTCGACGAGTTGGAGGTCAAGGCGCATGACGCCGAGAGAAGGCGCGACAACGCGTCGGCCGCGGACTTGCGGTACTTCGCCATCCCGGACGTCATCAAGCAGATCCAGGAGTTGGAGGTCAAGGTTGCCGAGGAGGACGCGTCGCAGTCCATGCTCAACAACGTGGTGGGCGCGGACGCCGTGGCGGAAACCGCGGCCAGATTGACGGGCATCCCCGTGACCAAGTTGACCCAGGCGGAAAACACCAAGTTGATCAACATGGAGAAGGTCTTGTCCTCGGAGGTCGTCGGCCAGAGTGAGGCCGTGAAGGCCGTGGCCAACGCGGTCAGGTTGACGCGCTCCGGCTTGGCCAACCCGGACCAGCCAGCGTCGTTCTTGTTCCTCGGCTTGTCCGGGTCCGGTAAGACCGAGTTGGCCAAGAAGGTCGCGGGCTTCCTCTTTGCCGACGAGAAGGCCATGATCCGCATCGACTGCTCCGAACTCGGCGACAAGTGGTCCGCGTCCAAGTTGCTCGGTGCCGCGCCGGGATATGTGGGCTACGAGGAGGGCGGCATTCTTACCGAGGCCGTGTTGAGGAGACCCTACTCGGTCATCTTGTTCGACGAGGTCGAAAAGGCAGCGCCCGAGGTCTTGACTGTGCTTTTGCAGATTCTAGACGACGGCAGAGTCACTTCGTCGCAAGGCAAGGTCATCAACTGCTCCAACGCAATCATCATCATGACCTCCAACTTGGGCGCCGAGTACATCAATGCATCCAAGGGCGCCAAGGTCGACCTGGAGACCAAGGACTTGGTGATGGAGGCCGTCAGACACCACTTCCGGCCCGAGTTCCTCAACCGGATCTCGTCGATGGTGGTGTTCAACCGGTTGTCAAAAAAGGCCATCGCCAAGATCGTGCGTATCCGCTTGAAGGAGATCCAGAACCGCTTTGTCGAGAACGGCAAGGCCGTGACTTTGGACGTCGACGACGCCGCCTTGGAGTACTTGTGCGACAATGGCTACTCGCCCGACTTGGGCGCGAGACCTTTGAATCGTCTTATCCAGAGAGAGGTGCTCAACAAGTTGGCCATTTTGTTGTTGAAGGGCCAGATCAAGGATAAGGAGACTGCGCGTGTGACATGCACGGACTCGGGCTTAGAAGTATTGGCCAACCACGAGGCTGAGATAGAAGATGAAGAAATGGACGACTGGCAGGCCAGTGAGGACGACGATTTTGCTGACGAGCTTGATTGAATACAAGCCGCCGTCTGATTTTGTGATGTACGAGAATGGTTCATAAAACCAAGTATCTAATAATTGTTTAAACTCTGAATTCGCACCCACTTGTAGAGAATGAAAGAACAAGTAACATCTAGTGAAATATTGCTGGGGCATTAGTCCTGGGCATTAAAGATTGGGGTTTACGTTTATATTCAATGAACGGCTAGTTTCAAGGAAGGCTCGTCCGGGGATCTTCACCGCGACATGAGACCCAGAATGGAATGCAATGGGATATCCACCTAACAAGAATTGTTGGTGAAACAAGGCTGTGTATGACTTACGAAGCAAAGTTCAAACCAAGAAGGATATGCCAGAATCATGAATTTCCTTGCTGGAATCATGTCCTTCTCAACAGTTCCATGTCTGCATGAGTTGTGGGGCAAACTTCGTTCTGCTTGTATGTCATGTTTAGGACTTTCTCACACAAAGGGATTCGAGCTATCCCTGTGTTTTTCTCGAAACCGTATATGGATTATCTAAACAGGTCCATTGAGCTGGACTATAATTATGACGCCTCGGATGCCCTGCATAAGCCTGCAGTGCAAGGCCACGAGGTCCTGTGGGTATGTTTACAGTTTTGGGTTCGCTAAGTGTCAATTCTCCTACCCATATTACTATACAATGAAATTGAAGAGCCGAAACAATAACAAATCGGGAAAAAAATGCACTGGCACAGCAGCAAAACGTCCTGCCAATACTGGCCCGCAGCAATGCGGGTCGTGCGCAGACCAGAGGACCCCTCTTATTTGGAAAGGTGTCTCTTCAGCACCCGGCTATAAACGCAAGTAAGACTTCATCGCTGCACTGGGGGGCTCCTTCTATATCTTGGTAGCAATAATGGAAAAAATGCCGAACCTCGACGAAAACGCCAGGGCGGGGCCTCAAGCAATGGAGCGCCCTTGTCTGCAGGCCCACGCTCTCATCTCATAGATGGCGAATGCAAAAAAAAAAACCTACAGTGCTTCACATCGCTACCTACAACACACAAAACACACAAAATGGCGAGCAGAACGCAGTTTGAAAATTCTAACGAAGTCGGAGTGTTCTCCAAGTTGACCAACTCCTACTGCCTTGTTGCTGTGGGTGGCTCGGAAAACTTCTACTCGGCTTTCGAGGCCGAGCTTGGAGACCTTATTCCAATTGTCCGGACCACCATTGCCGGTACCAGAATCGTCGGCAGAATGACCGCAGGCAACAGAAGAGGCTTGCTTGTGCCTGTGCAGACCACGGACCAGGAGCTCATGCACTTGAGAAACTCGTTGCCTGACACCGTCAAAATCCAGAGGGTCGAGGAAAGATTGTCTGCGTTGGGAAACGTGATTTGCTGCAACGACTACGTTGCTTTGGTGCACCCTGACATCGAGCGTGAAACCGAGGAGTTGATTGCCGATGTGTTGGGTGTCGAGGTGTTCCGCCAGACCATCGCAGGTAACGTTTTGGTGGGCTCGTACTGCTCTTTGTCCAACCAAGGTGGCTTGGTGCATCCACAAACGTCCATCCAGGACCAGGAGGAATTGTCGTCGCTTTTGCAGGTGCCTCTTGTCGCGGGAACCGTCAACAGGGGTTCTTCTGTGGTGGGTGCCGGCATGGTGGTCAACGACTGGGTCGCTGTCAGTGGCTTGGACACGACTGCACCCGAGTTGTCTGTTGTCGAGTCCATTTTCAAGTTGCAAGATGCGCAGCCGGACGCCATTTCCGGGAACTTGAGGGACACGTTGATCGAGACGTACTCTTAGGCTCACGTGACGTTGGGTTTTTAGCATTGTATATTAGATAATGGAAGGACAGCCAAGACCGAGTGTAGCGGGAGTGCGTTTTGGGGTGTTTGTCGTGGACAATTATGAGTCCTGGCTCACGTATATATGCCTTTGCGCCAGCAAGCCAGACCCCGGTGCATGCGTTTCGAGCCACGTTTTCACATCGCTTCTATAAACGCTTTGGTTTCCTGTACTTGACTCTGTAGCGGGACCTCTTGTAACTGGCTTTTTCCACTATAGCTGGTGTCCCTGGCCTGATGTGTTCTTCTGTAGCTGGTGATTTCCACTTTCACAAACTGAAGCAGTGATATACCAAAAGCCTGAGCCCAAGCTTTGTATAGTTGACAGAAGGAGCCTCAGCTCGAAAACGTATGTCTGCCGTCTTCATGTGACGTATGTCTGCCTCCATGTGCCTATCCCCAAAATTTCGAAGCGCTGGCTCAGTATAAAAGCAGAATCCGACATCAGCTCTCGTAGATCCCCTACAAAGTACCTGGCAGGCTTCTGGAAACATCATGGACAATCTACTTCGTCGTCCCCTTTCTTCATCCAGCTAAAGCCGGCCATCGATACATGCGGTATTTCATAGAAATTTAATATATCATGTTGAAATGTCCAAGCGATCCACGGCTTATCAGCACACTCTATGCATATTTGCACCTGCTGTTCCGAGTTAAATAGTAGCACCTTCATACTCAAGTCAACTGGTCTTGGACATACGAGCGCTCTTTTATTCCCCAGACTTCTGCTCAAATCCGACGGCTTTGACACATTTCGGTGGAGAGGATTTTTCGTACTTTTGTACATACTCCCCACCGTTGAATTCTAGAATTTCGCTAATTATCTGACTTGTATTCAAGAAGGTCACCAGTTACTGATTGATCAAATAACAGCTTTCTTACACCAATTTCTCCTCGTTTCAAAATTAAGAATAGATAAAACAATTAATTCCACATAAACTTCTCATGGCTGTTTACTGCACCACATCCATAGAACAAGGCCCATTTGGCCAATACCGAGGGCCGCTCAGACGTAACTTCCGCATTCTGCTTCACCAAGATAAAGAATCAGAACAAGGCTCTGAAACAGTTTCTAAACCGCTCTAAAAGCGGAAACCAAAAAAAAGCTCCGAATTATTTCCGTGCATAAAAGAAAGTTATGCGCATCTTGTTTCTGTCTTGTCCCTCTGGCCGGCTCTCGTATCTACCACTGCTCGGTATCCTGTATCTTCAGCCAAAACAAGCGTCGCCAAATGTACTGCTGTGCACTGGCCGAAATTCCACCGCCAAGAGACTAAATCTTATTCTTCCATTTTTGGGCTGAACACCTAGATTCGTTATCCAGATCGGCAAGTGTGCCTGAGATACATATAAGAACAGGATAACACGTGATTTGACGCTTTCGCCATGGACTATTTGGGCGTAACTAGAGGCTCGATTCGGAGCCACGCGTACCAGAGATTAGCGCAATTGGCCGTGGTTCAAAACAACCAGGCGTTTTCTTCAGCCGACAAAAAATCGATTTTCTCGGCAATAGACACGAACAGCTCCACAGAGGTGCCAGATGGGGCCATTTCAATGAACGAATTCGAGGTTTTGGTCGGGTTGTGCGATGCTACTGACCTGGCCAATGCGACGGATTTCCAGGCTCAGCTTTTGGCCCAGAAATTCCGCCTTTACCTCCTTCAATTGCCCCGGCAGCACTTCTCCGAGGCAGTGATTTCCAAATTGGGCAGTATGCCGCCGTGGCTACTCATGGGAGAAAAGTTGACGTCGGCACTCATTAATTTGTGGAACGGGTCCCAGAAAGCCTTAATACATGAGATAGTAAACACCCTCGCGGCCTTTTTGGCGGCTGTTTCCGAAACTGCCCTCGAACTCCCAGGCTACTTGGCCTTGTTGGGCTTTATGCAAGCGTTGATAGCCAAGCCCGGTATTCTTGTTGCTACAGACGAGTCCTTCCGGATTTTTGGCGTGTTGGAATCATCGATCAACAACACAGAATTTCTCACTGCGGCTGAGCAATACTCGGTTTTCCTCGCTTCGAGCTCTTACACGCGCAGCTTCCTCAGTAACGAATTTGTTGCGGAGTTCTCACCAGTTCTATTGCTCCAAATCCTCAGTGCTCTACTGAACAGCATTGTCGCGCACATATGTCGGAAACCCCTGGGAAATGGAACTTTAATGGATCATTTGTTAACCATGGTTTCCTCAGAGGAGCGTGACATGGCAGGAAACAAAAATGACAATCGCACTGCAAATGGCACTGCAAATGGCACTGCAAGTGGCGCTGTCGAAGACAGAACGAATGATAATCACCAGCTTTGGCCAAATCTGGACAAAAGAATAGGCTCCAGGTTTACTAATGGGGTCTTGTCTTCTAAAGCGAGCAGTCCTGCCAGTGGCAACGACAATCTTCAGGTCATTCCCAGTGCCTTGACATTGAATATTCCGAGCAGCCATGTCGACATCCTCAAGATTTTGGCGGATGCCGCTCTGAAGGAAATGGACTTGTTGGATCGTGGTGAGAGTTTTTTGGTGTACTCGTCCATGCAGCGCTTGCGCCAAGGATACATGGCTAAGAGCCAATTGGTCCTGGTGATTGCATGCGGTACTTTGATGGGTGTCATCAACGACGAGACTGCTATCAGAATATTTCATGCCACCATTGGGATCCAGAAAGTCATGTTATACCCGTGCCTCGGCTCTGCTGTGATCCAATTGGGCTCGCTTCTTGTGTTCAAAGATGCATCTGTCAGCTCTGCGCTTACGCGGACATTCACAAGCTTGGTCGCAAATCCAGCGTTGTCTCCAGACGAGTGTTTGATAGCATCCAAGGCTGTGGGAATTGCAAGCAAGATCTTGTCGCAAGACACCGTGGTGACTACCATTTACGCGTTGACAAACTTGCTCTCTATTGATAGCGACGGCCTCCAATTACTGGCTCGGTCCCGCAGAAACACTAGCTTGAGGCATCGAAGCTCGTCACTCTCGCTGGACTCCCGCGACTCAGACTACGCAAGCCCAAATCGAATCACTGGAACTTACACCTTGCTGAAGAAAAGCAGCATGAACAGCGCTAGTATCCATCATTCTAGCCTTAGCGAGCATGACTACACAAAAGTGTGTAGAAACGCTGTCACAGCTATTAGCGAGATTGTGGCTGCATGTGATGATGAAAGCGTAAGCACTTTAGCTGTGGCCATTTTGTCCCAAAAAATGTTAAAGTTGAACTCATCAATTGCCTCCTCATTGTTGCAAGGTTTGGTGGCATGTGCGCCCCATTTGCCCGAGGGAGAATTTGTTGTTTTAGTTAGGATGCTTCAGAATCATTCATTGAATGCCTTTCATGCGGAGAACCACGAGCTTTTGGCAATGCTTACCGATTCTAGAGCTAAGCTCGCTCACAATTTGAAAGTCGATCATCCTTTGCACTCAGTTTATTTGGCAGAAACTTTGTTTGCAATCATTAGTCACGGAGAAGTGCAAGAATTGGACCAGCATCGCTCCCACAGTGAGATCAGTGCAATTGGAGTACACATTTCTCTCCATTTGAAACCTTTGGCGCAACTCTTGCCCGATGTTCATAAAGGACAAAAGCCATTACACGTCAGCGACAATCGTATTCTTTACTTGTTTAGAAACATATGGTTCAATATGGTTGTCCATGGTTACTCGCAAGACTCTGTGCATGCTCAAACCTATTCTCGTGAGTTGGAACAAATTGCTTACAGCACTCCCCCTTTGGCATCTGAATTATCTTGGAACAGAACAGAGACTTCCTTGGAATTGAACACTGTTTTGAAAAGAGGCTCCCTGAATCATAACGTAAAGGATCACAAGCACATTGTGAGCGAAGTTTTTGAAATTCCAAGAGCCATGTCTTATTCAAAGTTGATGTTCCTCGCCGCAGCTCTTTTCGTTGAATCTTTGAGGGTAAAATCAGGTGATTGTCATGCGATCTTGAAATACTACTCAGATCCTTCCATGAAAACTAGTGGTATCGACAAATACCTCGGTCCAATTGCTCTTCGTATAAACGAAAACTATGTCAAGTTGATAGACTGTGGAGCTAATCAACAATTTTCTGCTGCCAACATCGCCGAGCAGTTGACACACATATTGGTCATCTGTTGCCATGGGCTTAAAGACTCGCAAGATGCTGCTTTCCAGTGCTCAGACTTGCTTGTCAATAAGATTCCCTCATCTTTGTGTCACCATAAGAGTTTGTTTGCTTTATTTGATCTCTTGACTCTTTTGTACGATAGTGTTGTTGACTCGGAAGTAAACCAGTACAACCCTAAATTTCTATTCAAAGCAGAGAAGACTGGAATTGAACTCAAATTGCCAGATTCTTATAGCTGGAGAAACGACACTTTTTCTCGATTACACGAAAAAGCAAAAGTTTGGGTCAAGTTTCTTTTGTTGAGATGCAACTATGATACCAAAAGCTTAATTCAATCGTACGTTTCGGAAGCTGAAATCTATCAATCGAACACTACTATACGTTTTGGTGTTTCTTTCGCTTTGGAGATGGCTGGTACGATTGCTGCTACCGATCGTGAGTTAGTCCATCTCCCACAAGTGGCTAAAGGCTCTTCGTTCAATCTTCTACCACCAGTTATCTCTCAACTTTCCTGGAAATCAAATTCAGTGACAAGCATTGTTGACAGAATTTCATTTAGCTCTGCAGAGAGCAGTGGGAAGGCTTTCCAAGAACTCCGCGAACGAATCGACACCTTCAAGGACCTCATTTTGGATACAGAGCATCATTTGTCTTTGGATGAGATAACAGATTTGTTGAGTGACGTTGCAGGTTTTATTTTGGTGCAAGACCTGAACCTGGCTGAGCTTGTGCGTCATTTGGTTGAGATTCCATTCATTGTTTTTGAGTCTAGCTCTATGAGAGCCGCCACTGTCATATGGGGCGCAGTGATGAAAGAAAGACCACACTTATCCGTCTTGGTTCTTGCCGAGATCACGAAGAACTGGGAGCTCTCCATCAAACTTAAAAAAGGCGTCTTTTCCAAAGAATTTGATTTGATCCTACCAGAATTCAGTAAGATGGAATACTCTCCCAGTGACTTCGAAGATGTTGCTAAAGTAGCAGCTGCTGTGAATCATCACTTCCAGCCCCACTCGGAGATAATCAAATTATTATCTTCAAACTTTGAGGCTACTATGAATCAAAGCGATCATCTTTTGAAAATATTCACAAGATTTGTGAATCTTGGACTCAAGAATTTAGTCACTGGAAGCTTGCATCCATTTTCTCGCTTCATTAGATTTGAATTGATCAAATTTGCCTTCGACATCTTGAATTATCACCGCAGACTCGGTTCTAGAAGTTGTCAGCGTTTATCAGAGAGTATAGTTGATAGCGCATTGTCATGGTTCAAACTTAAGCCCAGCTATCCATTTGGTTCGAATCTCTTGAAGATTAAGGCTGATTTTACTTTGATGAAAGAAACTGCTAAATTGTTGAGTCAGGTGGAAACATACAATAGCACACCATTGCAAGAAAAGAAAACCATATTAATGCTATTCATGGATAGCGAGATATCGAAAATCCACGTTTGGCTCAACCCGTCACACGCTCTGGATATGAGAGGCGCGTACAGCAGTACGCAAATCGGCGAGAATCATATCAAAGTGGCATATTCTATTGACCCTCAATTGGCTCTCAATTTGGCTCACAGATATAACATCAAACACCTTGATGAACTGCTTCAAAATCTTATTTCAAAAAATCCCATTCCGGCAATGCCGTACGCTGATGCTGTGCAATACTTTATTGGTGTTAATGCAAGTACTAACACGCCATCGCACCATTTATTGTTCTGGGAACCTTTGGCTCCAATCGACGCAATAACCTTGTTTTTACCACCATTTGGTAAAAACCCTTATATCTTACAGTACACCATGAGGTCTTTGGAACATCATGATGTAAACTTGACGTTCTTCTATGTGCCTCAAATTGTTCAATCTGTCAGATACGACCTCAAGGGATATGTCAAGAGATTTATTATCGAGACGGCCCGCGTCTCAGGATTATTTGCCCATCAAATTGTGTGGAACATGATGGCAAACAGCTACAAAGACGAAGAAGCCACTATTCCTGACTCATTGAAGCCATCGCTAGATGAGATCCAGAAGTCTATGCTCGCCAATTTAAGCCAAGAAGACTTGACATTTTACGAAAAAGAGTTTGGTTTCTTCGACGAAGTCACTTCCATTTCTGGTAAATTAAAGCCATACATCAAAAAGTCCAAGGCGGAAAAGAAGATCAAGATAGACGAAGAAATGAGCAAAATCAAGGTACAGCCCGGTGTCTACTTGCCCAGTAACCCGGATGGTGTCTTAGTTGACATCAATCGAAAGTCCGGAAAGCCATTGCAATCGCATGCAAAGGCGCCATTCATGGCAACCTTCAGGATCAAAAAAGAGATAGAGGAGATAGATGAATACGGGAAGGCCCAGAAAATCGAAATAGAAAAGTGGCAAAGTGCAATTTTCAAAGTGGGCGATGATTGTCGCCAAGATGTGTTGGCATTACAATTGATCTCGGTCTTCCGTACAATTTGGTTGAACGCCGGTCTTGATCTTTACGTTTTCCCATACAGAGTGACTGCCACTGCTCCAGGGTGTGGAGTCATTGACGTCTTGCCAAATTCCACGAGTAGAGACATGCTTGGAAGAGAGGCGGTGAATGGCTTGTACGAGTACTACACCACTAAATTTGGGCCAGAAACCTCAATTGAATTCCAACAAGCTAGAAACAATCTAGTTCGCTCTTTGGCGGCATACTCGATCATCTCTTATCTTTTGCAATTCAAAGACAGGCACAATGGTAACATTATGTACGATGACCGGGGCCATATCTTGCACATTGACTTCGGGTTCTGTTTTGATATTGTTCCAGGTGGTGTGAAGTTCGAGGTGGCTCCCTTCAAGCTTACCAAGGAGATGGTAATGGTATTGGGAGGTTCCGACCACACACAGGCATACCAGTGGTTCGAGGATCTATGCATTAAAGGGTTTTTGGCCTGTAGGCCATACATGGAAACGATAGTGAGGTGTGTGACACCAATGTTGGAGAGTGGCTTACCGTGCTTCAAAGAAACCACCATCAAAAAGTTGAGAAAAAGATTTGTGCCAGGCAAAGGCGAGCGCGAGGCTGCTCAATACTTCAAAGGATTGATACGAAAATCCTACGAGAGTTTCTACACGACTGGCTACGATGAGTTCCAGAGACTTACAAACGGTATCCCATACTAATGAAATTGGGCATACTAGCGCGGTGCAGAATCATGGCAAGCGTAAATGGCGAAAGATCCGACAGCAACAATGCGCGCGTGATATCGCGTAGGAGAAATGCCTGCCAAGCTAATCGAGAAAGGCGCAACTCATACTGGACTTGGCAACGCGAACGGGGAAATCACAGGCCCATTTCGACTTGCCCGACAAAACCTTCCTCGATAAAGCCAATAGATAAATTTTGAGACTAATAAATCACCGAACACTAAAGCACGACCAGAACACAAGAAGATAAAAACAAATTTTAGCACAGAACAAAGAAGTATGTTTTGGCTGGGACTGTGCGCACCGGGCAGCCAAAAATAACTTTACTGGTCCTGCTCAGCCCCACCACGATAGACCACAGCACACTGCGCCCTCCTGCACTCCAGGACCAAGTTCCCAGCCCCCCAGTTGTTCTGTCATTGAGCAGTACTGCATACCGGCGCGCACCCACAGCCTGGAGTGGCTATTGTGTGCTTATGTGCACATTGTGGGTGATTCGCACCTAGAAACGAGCGCCTTGGCTTGATTCGGAATCTACACTAACGTCAGCTTCTCGGATTTCTTCCAAGGGAAAATAGGGCCCTCTTTCTGCTTTCTTTCTTTCTTCTTTTCGCTTTTCTTCTGTGACATACACCCGTTTTTCTCTTGATTCTTCATTTGAGTTCTTTCCTCGAATCATTGTATTTTATAGCCTAACACTGCTATCAGGTTGTCCATCAGTGTACCCGCCAGGTGTTGTTTTTTCCCCCTAAGCTGCACACCGAAATCAGTCGCCGCCGGAAAGAAAGGAGAATATTTTTTCTCCACACGAAAAAACGTAATCAAAACTTCGAAAAAGCTCGATTTTGTCAAACGCATCTCTTGCTGAATCAGCGCCTTACATCGCTTTTATTGGTTCCCCCTTTTTGAGGTTTTACTGCCACATCCAGGGAGATCAGAGAATCCCCTTTGAAGCAACCCCGCTTGCTCCAGCCCGCATATTGTCTACTAGTTGAAAATGCATTTTCCGCTGACATTTATGACCTGGGCATTTATGCTCCTTATGCTGGCTTCTGTGTCGGCTACCAAGCTTCTTCAAGCGTCGTCTTTGTTGACATGCATGGACAACTCACAGCTCTGGGCATCCTACTTGGACGTCACTTTCTGGCCGTCCAACAGCACTGTCCTGTTTGACATCGAAGCAATCTCAAATATCAATAACGTCAATGTCAGTGTCAATATAACGTTGATCGCTTACGGATTCAACGCCGTTGAGCAGACAATCAACTTGTGTGACCTTGAGGATTACTCGGCGCTTTGTCCTTTGACCTCAGGCCACTTGGATATCGACATAGACTACGATGTATCGGACCTGATCAAAGATCAGATTCCGGGAGTTGCATACACCATTCCGGACTTAGACGCCAGAGTGAAACTCATCATGTACAGCACAGATTCTGACGAAGCATTAGCATGCGTTGAGGCTACTGTAACCAACGGTAAAACGGTGCAAACTAAGTATGCTGCGTGGCCCATTGCTGCAATCTCTGGATTTGGTTTGATCACTTCCGGTGTGGTTTCTGCAATTGGCCATTCAAGCACAGCAGCTCACATTGCACTGAATTCGATGTCCTTATTCGTTTACTTCCAAGCTCTCGCAATAACCTCTATGTTGGCAGTTGCTAAGGCTCCCCCAATCGCCGCTGCATGGGCACAGAATTTCCAGTGGTCATTGGGGGTCATAAAGGTTGGTTTCGTACAGGACATTGCCAACTGGTACCTCCAGGCTACCGGTGGTACACCAACTGCCATCTTGACGAGCTCTCAGGTTTCCATTTCAGTGCAAAAGGTGAAGAGGGCTATTGAATTCTTAACGGGGCCCTTATTCACGCCATTCCAAGAGCGTAGTCTTCAAAAGAGACTCTCAATCTCAACAGATTCTGACAGCTCGATGCAGTCTGATAACTTAGACAGCACTTTATACACCACAGATGAAAAGGAAGCTCTTCTGGGTACCAAAGTTTTGATTTTACGTGGAATTCAGAGAGTTTCATACTTGGCCGGAATCGAAATCACAAGTTTATTCATGACAGCTATGATGTTCTTGATATTTTTTGCCTTCGTCCTCATCGTGTGTATGACCTTTTTCAAGGCCATTGTCGAGATTTGTATCAGATCCAACATTATGCCCGAGGGAAAGTTCAACGAGTATAGACAACATTGGGCCAGTATCATCAAGGGTGCCTTGTACAGATTGCTTTTGGTTGCATTGCCGCAAATTGTTGTATTTGGCTTCTGGGAGTTCACCGTTCGTGACTCCGCCGGCATTATTGTTGTGGCCGCATTCTTGATCCTTGTTGCTTTTATCCTACTCGGGTTTGCCGCTTTCCGCGTCATCACTTTTGGAAGAAGATCTGTGCGGGAATACAAAAACCCAGCTTATCTCTTGTACGGCAACAATGTCTTTTTAAACAAGTTTGGATTTGTCTACGTGCAGTACAGCGCTAGCTGCTACTACTTTGTCGGTATTTCTTTGATATACGTCTTTTTGAAGACATTTTGGGTCGCAGTCTTGCAGAGTCATGGAAAAGTCCAATCGCTCATTGTCTTCTTTATTGAACTCATCTACTTGGTGACTGTTTCTTGGATTAGGCCATTCATGGATAAAAGAACGAATGCCTTCAACATCACTATTGCAGTTATCAACACTTTGAATGCCTTGTTTTTCGTCTTCTTTTCCTATGTTTTTGGGCAACCCGAAATTGTGGCATCGGTGATGGCTGTGGTCTTCTTTGTGTTGAATGCCATTTTTGCTTTGTTCGTGTTAATTTTCACAATCGTCACATGCGTGTTGGCATTGGTTTACAAGAATCCAGATTCTAGATACCAGCCAATGAGAGATGATAGAGTGTCCTTCATTCCTCGTGCAGGCGCCAAGAGCGGAAAGGTGAATGGTGGAGATACTCAGGATATTGAGTTGGCAGCTTTGGGTGCGAGCGCCATGAAGGGACATGAACATGCAAAAGATTCTGGATTTTTAGAGTCCTCATCTGATGACTTGCGCGGAAAGGGCGTGGATTATAGGCCTGCTTATGACTCAGAAAGCAGTTCTAAGCAGTCACTCGTCGACTCTGTTGAACCACAGGAACCGGTTTCTACCATTACTGGAAATTCGAGTCATGCATACCAGAACTTCAAAACAGCATACAGTGATCGAAGCGATCAGGGAAATGGCGCATATCAAGGTTATCACGATAGGCTGCCCACTTTTGGTCACAAGCAAGCGTACAACAACCAACAATAGCAATAGCAACATTAATCTAGGAAACAAGGACTATCTTTAGTTCGTATATTATGTCATTTATAGTTACTTTTACACCAACTTTTACACCATTGATTTTAAATTTGCTATATGCTCTAATTGTTACGTCAAATTGACGCTACACATGACAAAACTTGTGCTTGCCAAAGATACTGTAGTGGAAGACATTATACCATGTAACAGGCACGCAATCCTTTTCTGCCTCTTTATCATCCCGCCTCACAATACGATCATCCAATGGAAAGGCGTCGTAGACTACTTGCCTATAATCTTTGGATCTTGCGTAAGGCTCTTCGAGACTCAGTGCCAAGGTGGGTTCGACTATTTCATCATTTTCGAAAACGCGATGCTTCAGCAGGGTCAGTGCAAGCTCGTCATTCTCAAACTCTTTTTCAAATCCCCTTCCAGACTCAGCACTTGGATCATTCGCGTCTAGTCTCGAGAAAGCATAGATAAGCGAGCCGTAATCCGGTAGCTCATCAATTGATCGTTTCCCCATACGGGATCGTTTTACAAAACCAGAATGTGACTCATCGTTCTCTTTGACTTGCAAATCAGGATCTTCAAATCTGAATGGTTTGTGTACCGCTTGTTTGACATGCTCGTTCACCAATCGCTGTGGCTGGCTATGGTACGATTTAACTTCCTGTCCTTCGATCTCTTCGGCCTCAATTGAAGGTGCGTGTAGCGCAGATTGAATATTAGCTCCAAGAATGGCAAGCCTTTCCCTCAATTCCAAGTCGGGCTTCTCGTCGGGCTCATTCTCTGGTGCTTCGGTACTCAATCCAGCGACCCACAGTAAATCTCCCGCAAAAAGATAAGTCTCAAGATAGTCACGCAAGGAGGAGGCAGAGAGCCCATAATCGTCAATCCATTTCTGTAAAGTCTCATAGCTTACTTTAATTTCATGGGGCTTGTCTGGGTCCGGGGTCAGCCCCTTAGATTGCTGAACGTCCAAAATGAAATCAGTGCTTTTGCTAGGCAGCGGAACGCGCAAGCTGTCACTGTCTGGTTCAACATGGTCCAAGTTCTCCAAATGCTGCTTAAATACCTCTGGGACGCTTTCAAGAATATCCTGAAATAAGTTTTGAGTCTGAAACAGGGTAACCAAACTAAGAAGCAGTGCGTTATCGCTGACAAAAAACGTTTTGATCAATTGCGCCCAGAATTTTAAAGAGACAAGGGCAAGGGCATGGTCTTGTGAGTCAAACATAGACATGAGCTCACTTTCTGTCTGGTTTGTGATTTTTTCGAATATCACAAACAATTGTTTTACTTCAGGTGCAACCACATCAAAGCCCTGTGCAAAGTGATTTGTGGGTGGACTAGCATGTTCTCTTGCAAGCAGTTTGACCCGCAATTGGCTAATTGCATCTAATGGGATAAACAATGAGTGAGATAAACTAAGTAGGAAGATAAAAGCACATATTCCTTGCTTGAAGCTCATTTTTGATGAGTAAGTTGGAAAACGTTTCTGTAAATTGGGTGCAAAAATTCCAAATAGATGCGAAACCCCGCACAAAGCACAATTTTTTTTAAGCGTATATTCCCGCTAAAAATCAGAATCCCAACTTGCAAAGAAAAAAAGATAGTAAACAGCTCGGCTGCTTTGTATTCATTAGGAATCTTAGTTTTTCGATGGGAAGTATCTTGTTTCGCTGGGGCAACCCAAACTTGAAAGGTTGCTGGAAAGTAGAAGTCGTGTGTGCACTGATCGGGGTTGCGGAGTTCCGCGGTGTCATACTGATTACATGATCTTTTTAATTCGATGATAAAGTCAGAAAGCTCAGCATATTCAAACTTACAGTGAGCTTTTCGAGATGCGTGTCTAGATTCCTCTTGTGCTTAAGTCTATCAGCCAAAGGAAGAAAATTCAACGTGAATTAACATAGTACATCTGACTCAAGTTCATACTCTGAACTTGAAAGAGCTTAATTCGAGGCTATATGAATGTATATTTAAGTAGGATAGCAAGAGGTTCAGAATCAATTGCTGTTATTCTTATCTTCTCTCTTATGGGTGAGAATGCATGGATTGGATTTCTGGGTCAATTTTTTAAACGCCCAACTAAGCGACTTTATGATAACGTATAAAAAAGGGAGAAAGACTTTGGGATTTTCGATCACGATAGACAAAATAAGGCTGCATGTTCTTTAAATAACTTAAGACCCTTGAATTGGGAACGTTTTGCCGAAAACTTAATTGACTTGCCAAAGCCTCGATTGATCTGATTAGAGGAGTGAAAGTACGTGCCGCCTTGTCAAATGTAATGTTTTAAGGTCACGGGTCCTCAGAAAAACATATTCTATGGGACGATGACATTTAGTTGAATTTATTCAAGTGGTTGACATCGGTTATGGTCTTTTTGAGGGGAGTCATATCCTCTTTGGGAGATTTCGTGAATTGGGGTTCACGCCTTCTCACCTGAGTCAATGCTGCGATCTATTATAAGCTTTTTCTTTAAAATTTTTCTTTAGTGGTGGGGTTTTACATCCCTCCAATGACACTCTATAATACGATGTTTCTTTGAAAATAAAGTGTCGGAACTTGGCCCGTCCCTTCCGTTTGTCACGGCCTGGACGGTTAATTTTTTTTTTTGCTTTTTGGTAGATTCATCTGATTAAAGGGGCAAAACTATATAACGAATATATATAAAAAACCTTTAAACAGCTCCCAGCTACGTACCAAGTGTCTTAGCTCGGCCCGTCCCCTTCCGTTAGTCACGGCCTGGACAGTCCTCATGGCACGTATCTGTTTACGTATTGGATATTACGTCATCGACTCCTAGGATAGGTCTCCTGTAGTAGTCGCTTCAACTCGGCTGGTTGTAGCGGACTTAAGGATCCCACTTCCTGCGACTCGCCACGCCTTCTGGTGTAGACCTTGAAGATCGTGGTGACGAACCAATTTAATTTTGTTAAGTTCTCCGATGAGTTGTCGGCTGGGGCCAACATTGAGTTCAAGCTCATGGGCTTGGTGGTCTTGCATCCTCCAGTGACACCCTATATTTATAAAACCTTAAAAAATCTCAAATAAAATTGTTGATAGACAAGAATTTCATGATGGTATTTGCATGATTAAAGCAGACACACTGGAATATGGACCTACCATGTTAAGTTGTGGCATGAACAGCCTTGCTAGCTCAATGGCTAGAGCGTGAGACTTTTAATCTCAAGGTTGCGGGTTCGACCCCCGCGTAGGGCTTTCTTTTTGAATGTTCTAGTGGGTAGTTTCTAGCCTGTCCCCTCCTCAAAGACTCGTAAATTCACTCAAAGACCCTCATGTACTTACCCATCAGGACCTGATGTGATATTATGAGTTTGATGAGGATGGAAGGCTTATGCAGGCAGCCACATACTTTTTGCCGTGTAGACTTCAATATCTATGAACACCCCAAAGCTGAGCGGGAATATAGCTTAGCGACGAAATGAAAGGCCAGCAAATGCTCCACAGTTTTATCGGCAAAAAGTCCACGTTTCTTGGGGAAGCACAACCGCTCAAGAAATGTGACCCCGGAGCAGCGCCCCTTAAAAATTGCCGCGAAGCAAGCTCGCACACCCGCAAGCCTCTGTCACAATTTAATACTAGTCTGCAGACACGGATACGACCTAAAATGAAAGGAAACTCCGGGTGGCAAAGGCAAATGCAACAAGAAATACAAGATACAGACAGATGAACAGCAATGAGCAGACACAAAAGCAAGACTCGAGAACTACAAGCCAATCGACGGATAGTTGGACACATTTTCATGGCGGAATTTTTAGGTAATTTGGCTGAATTGAACATCCGCCAGGGGAGAACAATTCGAGCAAGCTGAGCCGCTTCAAAAAATCTAACCCAATCACAATCAAAGCTTGTGGAGCGAGCACAAAGAGTTTTTTTTGAGAATCTCCTTGGTTCTGAAATACGGATTCCCTTGTTGGCTGGGTGCTTGAGTGCAAAACCGGGCCAGGTTCCAGAAGATCAATGAAATTCGCGGGGCCGAAGAAGGAATGGCCCTAAACGGTCAGCTTTTCGCACGCGGTCATTGGTTGGCCCCGGAGATTCTCGGAACCCGCATCCACGAAGCAAGAGTCTCCACTATGCAAAAAAAAAAAAAATTAAACACCAGAAAAAAAAAAGAGAGAAAATATCTGTTTCAACACAGAAATAAAGTCACTTTATTTATACCAAACACCAGTCTTCACACACCCAAGCATGTTGTCCAGAACACTCAAAAGCAATTTGCGTCGCTTGCCCAAGGCCGCCGCTTGTGGCGCCAAGGCCACGCCATCAACCATTGCCAGAACTTTGGTCACGAAAACGGCTGCCCCAAGATTGGCCTCGATGCCAAGATTGACTTTTCACAGATTTGCCTCCACTTCCGTCAAAGTCCCCGAGATGGCCGAGTCCATTTCTGAAGGTACCTTGTCTGCATTTAACAAGGAAGTGGGTGACTTTGTCAACCAGGACGAGCTTGTTGCTACCATCGAAACCGACAAGATTGATGTCGAGGTCAACGCGCCAGTGTCCGGTACTATCACTGAGCTTTTAGTAGCTGTTGAGGATACTGTGGAGGTTGGCCAAGAGATCATCAAGATCGAGGAAGGCGATGCTCCAGCAGGCGGTGCCAAGAAGGAGGAGGCACCTAAGCAGGAGTCTAAGGATGAGGCCCCAAAGAAGGAAGAGGCCCCAAAGAAGGAGGAGCCCAAGAAGGAGGTCAAGAAGGAGGAGCCCAAGAAGGAGGCTAAGAAGGAAGAGCCCAAGAAGGAGTCCAAGGAGACCGCTTCTTTCACCGCCTTCTCCAGAACCGAGGAGAGAGTGAAGATGAACAGAATGAGATTGAGAATCGCTGAGCGTCTTAAGGAGTCGCAGAACACCGCCGCCTCGTTGACCACGTTCAACGAGGTCGACATGTCCAACTTGATGGACATGAGAAAGTTGTACAAGGATGAGATCTTGGACAAGACCGGCATCAAGTTCGGCTTCATGGGTGCCTTCTCCAAGGCCGCCGCCTTGGCCTCTAAGGAGATCCCTGCCGTTAATGCCTCCATCGAGAACAACGACACCATGGTGTTCAGAGACTACATGGACATTTCCATTGCCGTGGCCACGCCCAAGGGTTTGGTCACCCCTGTCGTCAGAAACGCCGAGTCCTTGTCGATCTTGGGTGTCGAGCAGGAGATCAACAGATTGGGTAAGAAGGCCAGAGACGGCAAGTTGTCGTTGGAGGACATGGCCGGTGGTACTTTCACCATTTCCAACGGAGGTGTCTTTGGCTCCTTGTACGGAACGCCAATCATCAACTTGCCTCAAACCGCTGTTTTGGGCTTGCATGGTGTCAAGGAGAGACCTGTCACTGTCAAGGGCCAAATCGTCTCCAGACCAATGATGTACCTTGCATTGACTTACGACCACAGAGTCTTGGATGGCCGTGAGGCTGTCACTTTCTTGAAGACCATCAAGGAGTTGATCGAAGACCCAAGAAAGATGTTGTTGTCTGCCTAGATGCACCACAGTTCCTGCATTACTAGATAGTTAGCTGACACGGACGAGTGAATAGTTAACGAGATTATCCTGAGAAAGTTCAAGCTGTAGTTTACGATGAGGACATTGTAGCGCCCAGATGCTGTAAGTGAAATGGGGTGTCTGTTTCGGTGAGATTGACGGGATGTATTGTGAGGTTGAAGGTTCTCACAACGAGAGAAAGGCAATTTTTCCGAAGTGAGGGAGATGAAAGTCATACAGAGGTGATAGACAAGGCAGATATTCTGTGGAATTCCAGACAGAGACTACCGCATGGAAATAGCCAAATCTTTTGTGAACAAAATTTTTCTGATCGAGACAATATTGCTTACTGTATAAACTACTTCGAAAGGAGTGTAATGTAAATATAGGCTATTTTAAAACAGGCGTAGCCTGAAAATAATCGGTAATATCCCGGTGATTATATTTTACTTCAATAACATCAGATTTGTCCATAGAGAAGATAGAACATCTAATGCGTGATTGAATGTCTAGGAGACACGAAATGTTGCATCCATCGCATGGCTCCTGTCGCTGTTCCATGTGCACTCAGGCCATTATCCCGAAGTGCACAATATGAGCCTTCGCCGTCGTATGCGAAGATTTTGAGAACCGAATGACCAGACTCAGAACGCTTGCCTAGTGTCCTGCGAGTGCATCAAACGATCCAGTCCATTGGCAACAACGGAGTTTTAAAGAGGGCTAGAGGGAAGATACATGTACGGAAGATTATAGTTGATGAGAGGTAATAGATGATGAGAGAGTTGATGAAGACTAGTTTAAGGGAGGCTGTTAAGGGGAGGTAGAGTAGATGTAGGTTAAGGTAGATGGAAGGTTATAGCTTTCGAGAGATTATAGTCTATGAAAGGTTTGTGCCTATGTGAGGTTATAATTTGTGAGAGATTCTTGCTGATTGGAGGTTATCGTTGATGACAGAGAGTTGAAGGTTGGACTTTAAAGGGGTTATAATTTATGCGAGACTATAGTTGATGGAAGTTTAGAGTTGCTAAGAGATTAGAGTGATGGAGGGTTATAGTTTATGGAAAGTTGGAGCTACTGGGAGGATATAGTTAATGAAAGATTAGAGCCCATGGGAGGTTAGAGTAGTTTCCGAGAGATTATAGTTTGTGTAATATTGTAGCTTATGGGAGATTATACTGGAAGGATTATAGTTTATGGGAGGTTATAGTAGATGGAAGATTATAGCTTGTGTGAGAATAAAGTTTATGGGAGAATATAATGGGAGAATATAATGGGAGAATATAATGGGAGTTCAAAGCTGATTGATGGCTATAGTTTTGAAAAGTAGTGTTTCCGAGAAATTATAGTAAATGGAAGATAATAGATCATCAGAGATCATAATGGTAGGATTATAGATAATCAGAAATTATAATGGGAGGATTCTAGTTTATGGAATGTTGGATGTTATGGAAAATTAGAGTTGACAGGATAATATAGTTGTTGGGAAGTTTGAGTTGACGGGGGGTTATAGTTGTTGGGAGGTTATAGTTGATGGACGGTTATAGTTGATGGACGGTTATAGTTGATGGACGGCTATAGTTGATGGAAGGTTATAGTTGATGCAAGGTCATAGTTGATAAAAGGTTATAGCTGATGGAAGTGAGCTGGTAGAAGATTAGAGCTTATGGCAGATTAGAGTTGATGGATCTCACTCTAGCGGGAACGGCTACAAGGAAACGACCAACCAAAAGAGGACCACATTGTTGGACTGGTGTTTTTCGCAGACAAATGCCATAATGCGGCGGGGTCACACGGCAGCATCGTCGGAATAGGCGCAAGAGCCACGGTGCAAGAAAACACCATGGCATATGGCTCCAGCACATGGACCGGAAAGCACAAGGATACCAGTTTTGTTCTGGCGGCCCGGTCCAGGGCATGAGCGGCCGCATGGGCCTGTACAGTGCGCCCGGCACAGGCAGCGTGGTGGCACGGAGATCTCGGAAAAAAAAAACGCTGTCATCGGACAGAGCGTGCTGCACCACTTGGCAGATTCCAGATGTGCCTATCAGAACGGTGATCGCCAGACTAAAGCGCCTTGTCCGGCAGGCCCAAGCGGCCCGTCCGCCCAGAGAGGAAATAGGTAAACAGGCGGCGGGCGGCAGGGTGCAGGAGCGCGATGCACGGGAGCGGATGGGGTGTTTTCAAAACGCCCAGAAGCGGAAGGAACGTCTCAGAGCCGCGGGCAGCTCAGGCCATGGCCAAAGGCCGAGGGCCGCCCGGAATGGGCCTTCTTCTCTCTTTCCGTCCAGCAACAACGCCAGACACCGCCCCTCGACCTTTCCTCCGGACGCAAACCGTTTGAACCTCGACCCATTTTCGCCAGGTGTGGAACTCCGGCCGCGTGACATTTCTTCTCCCGCAGCCAGCCGACCCCAGCTCTGTTCACTTGCATCCACCAACAGGCACAGCGAACATTTGCGACCCAGCGACCGCACCCGGACATTCACAAACAGCGGTCCCAGAAAAAGGCAGCTTGCCACCGCACGGAACACGACGGCCGAAGCGGACAAGACCGAATAGACAGAACAGTGCCGGTGCACATTGCCAGACCGAGAGCTGTGGAAACAGAAACCGACGTTGCCAGTTGAGACTGGGTACAGTGAGCCTAGCAGTGCCGAGACTTGGCGGTATAGAAGACAGAAGACTGTCAATACAGACAGTACTGAAATTGCCAATACAGACAGTATTGGAGATTGCCAATACAGACAGTACTGAAATTGCCAATACAGACAGTACTGAAATCACCAATACAAACAGTATTGAAGATTGCCAATACAGACAGTATTGAAGATTGTCAATACAGACAGTACTGAAATTGCCAATACAGACAGTACTGAAATCACCAATACAAACCGTGCCAATCCTAAACACCATAGGATAGCCAACACCGCCACCGCCGCCGCCCATCACGCCCCGCCCCACATCCACCATGGACCCCATGGCCAGCTGGGACGCGCCCGCCCTCAAGCACACCGGCGTGCCGCCCGACGACGACATCGCCTACTACCTCCAGGACTACCGCGACTTCGACCATCTCTTCGACGACGCGCTCTCCACGCTCCAGGACTTGGACGTGCCCTCCGGCTACGGGCACGCGCCGCCGCCGCCGCCCGCCCGCCCCGCGCGCCACGCCAAGAAGCCCAGCGGCACCGCCATCTTCGGCTTCCTCGACCACACCCGCGACTGGTCCCTCGGGCCCGCGGCCCCGGACGACCTCGGCATGATGCGCCCGCCGCCCGCGCCCGCCCTGCCCGGCTCGGCCCCGCCGCCCGCGCCGTCCATCTCGCCCTCACAGCTCGCGCGCACGCCCGCCGTGTCCCACGAGCAGCTCGCCTTCAACTTCGACGAGCCCTTCGACACGGGCCCGCCGCTCTTCGAGGCCAGCAAGCCCTTCGTGCTCCGCGAGGAGGACGAGGACGCGCACGGCCACATGCCCGCCGCGCCCGCCCACGACGACCTCACCGTGACCAACCGCAGCCCGGCCTCGTACAAGTTCCCGCCGGCCCAGGCGGCCTTCGCCCAGCTCGTGGGCCTGAGCACCGCGCTCCCGCGCATCCACCACCCGCGCCGCCCGCACCAGTACCCGGCCGAGCTCGCCGAGCCCGCGCTCCCCGACCAGCACCCCGAGCCCGCGCGCCCCGACGCCCCGCCCACGCAGCGCTGGGTGCCCATCCCGGTGCGCGACCCGCGGCCGCACCCTGGGCCCGCACCACACTGCCCGCCGCGCCCCG